TGGCATCTTGATACCTTCAGTTGTCACCATTTTTTCCCTGGTTGTTGTTGTTGTTGTGTTGTGTTGTTTTTTGTTTTTGAAATTTGTATACTTGAGCCACCACACAATCTACCTTATCCTGCTCCAGGAGCTGCTGTAAATGAGAAAGACTTATACCAACTTATAAATAATCTGTTATCTAGCAAGGTTTCTTGAAGTAGGAGTATATCAAATTCAGCTACATATTTCATGAAAGTGAAGTCTTTGGATTTAGCATTCCAGCTTGCGATTTTCCATGAAAGAATTGTTAAGGTTTTAGAGGTATCCAAATGTCAGTCTGAGTTCCAGCAGTGGCCATTGTAAGAGGCAGATCCTCATGAATGGTAGGAACATAAGTTGGTACATACTGTTTGGTTTTAAGATCAGGTATCAGAGAAATGGGTGTATTTTGGGTGTTAGAAAAATCAGTATCAATATAAGAAGACACAATTCCAGGGATGGCATGAGACCCAAAAACTTCTGCCTCTGAGTGATTTCTGGGATCAGAACTTTTCTCCTTTGTCAGTGTCCCATCTAACCCCCACAATGATTTATAAGTATTTGGGGGGGGATTCAATTAGGGAGCTACACTGTTGGAGGGTACTGTTGTTAAAAGCATGCCTGGATCCGATGAAAGCAAGAAATGAGCCTTTTTCTCAGGGTCTGCATACTTTAGCTTCTCTAATTGATGTAGCAATTTGTCAAGCTGCAGACTATCGGGGACTGGGTTAGACATTAAAGGTTCTCCATTAGTGGTCTGCGTGCCTGGGCTTTTTGTGGCTGTGGCAGCGTTAGCAATTTGCTGGTTGAGTTTATTGCCACAGTCCTGAGTACATGGTAGGACCAGTTTAATTAATGGTTTTGCTGTGGAGTGTATTGTCACCAATGTTTCTCTTAATTCATCCAGTCTCTGTATGGTGTCTGCTTGCTCTGAATCTGGCAGTGCATCAAATGAGTCGATCAACTTTACTTCCAATGAGTCCTAGGCAGAATCTCTAACTGTAGATAATGCAGTTTGTTGATTATCAGTTACATTTTGGTCACTCACTGAGAGCCACATCAGCCATGGATTGCTGTATTATATCTTCACTCATTTTGAACCTGTCTTTCTTGTCTCTTCCATTTTGTCACATTTGCCAGAACTGTATGGTGGAGTGATATACCACCCAGCTTCTTACCACCAAAATGGCTGTATAGCAAATTCTTCTCAAATGTGATTCCACTGTAGTTAATAAAATATTGATACCTGCTGGGAAGGTTTTCACTATAAAATCCTAAATAGGTAAATAAAATATGCTTTTGAAATTTGTGGCAGGCAAATATTTTAAATAACTTGCATGTAAAATTTAGTACATTCTGCTTTGTATGTATGTATGTAGTCAAGATTTCATGATTCAGCTTCACATAATTCATGGCAATTTGCAAAATACAACAAAAAATAAAACAGCCTGAAATAAAGTTAAAATAAAATAAAATACTGTATTCCAATATCAAAACTAACACAGCCTAGTCACCAATAGCATCCAACTTTAAATAGATTTTTTAAAGTCTGTTGAACACGTGCCCTTGCACAGTGAGAACAGTCCCACAATTAATTTTGCTTTTGGGTTGCCCATCTTAATGTGAAATCTATTTGTATCTTTGGCTGTCTGCTCATCTCATTTGCACTATTATGTCTGAATAAGTTGTTTTTTTCTGTTGAGATTACTTTGTTCAGAAGAGCAAGACAATTCAGTCAGATTAGCGTTAAACAGGCAAAGTTGAGGCATGAATTCTTTCATTCAAAACACAATTTCTGTTTTTCATATGAACCAAGAAATCATCCTTCTGACATGTTTTTTCTGGATGCAGACATTCTTTGACATTATATTAGCTAAATATCCATGCCCATCTTCATTAGAGCCCAGATCTCTTCAGGAGTTTTTTTTAAAAGAAGTGCTATTTGATTCATCCTTCCATCTTCATTAGACCCTATAGGCTGGAACTGTTTTTCCATCAGGATGTTTCTTTCACCAGAGTAGAGTTATATTCAGCTTCAGATCCATTACCTTCTCACAGGTACCAAGGATATTCCCTTGCATTCAAGGATATTGGACCAGTCTAACAAACTAAAATGAAATGGCAGAAGCTTTACCCTGGAGGGCACCAAATAGAAGGAGGAAGGAGCTCAGAATAGAAAATCACTTAGACACAGAAGACATATTTACCAATGAAGAACTATAGTTATGGGGAAGTAATCAGTTCTTCCCACTTCCTAATCACTTTATATTTTGGTATCCCACTTACTCTAAAAGCGATCAGTAATGATCCAGCAAGAGCACCAAATCACACATAATCCTATCCAAAGACCTCCAGAGGATCTAATATACATGAATTTCCCTAGCATTGTCCTTCCCCCTCATATTGCAGTGAACATTAATTCCACTTTTTTTTCCTGTTACAGTTAGCCATATATGAAAGTCCCTAACCTTTTAAGAAGGGTGGATTGATGAGAGAAGGGGCTCCCTACACTGCATATTGCAACACTTTCTCAGAAATCTCACCTTGTTTTGCTAATTACTTCAAAACAAAAGTGAAACTCTGTATTATACATTAAGTATATCTTGACCATTAATTTGCTTTTTTTCCTCTTCCATATGTCAGCCCTTCAAGGTAGTCTTGACCAGGAAACCAAAACCAAGAATATTAATACTACCTTTATTGTAAGGTTACAGTAACAGAGTTTTGCAAGTCTGAAAGCACTTCCCCCTCCCCTTTACATTCCAAAGAACTTGGGAGGATCAATTCTGAGACATTTTCTCCACCCCCAATTCTTTTTTTGGACTCAGATTTTGTTTATCAGACTGTTGTCTAGGCTGTGGCTCTTCCTCCTCTTCCTTTCAAGGTTATTCTCTCAGCCTATTACACATAGCCCTTTTTCCTTTTTGTGTCATGTCTGTTTGGACTGTAATAATATTGCAGAAAGAGAATATATTGTTTATTAGTAATAATTTAAGCTACTCTGGAGCCTTTTTGCTTGAGGAATGAAGTACAGGTAGTCCTCAGTTTATGACCATTCATTCAGCAACCATTCAAAGTAACAGCACTGAACAAGGGGGACTTACAACAGGTCTTCAGAGTTCCAGCCATCTCAGCATCCCCATGGCAATTCTGGTCCCAATTGCTGTCGTAAGCTGAGGACTACCTGTAAAATTATTTTACATAAATAATTTTTTAAATGACATGTTTCCTGCCTGTTCACAGATCTGATCACAGATGCCTTATTTTTCAGAGGCATTCACATATCCATTCCCACTGTAAAAATGGCAGTTATAGAATTGATCAGATAAATGCAGCATATGATACAGTGGGGCAAAAAAGTATTTAGTCAGCCACCAATTGTGCAAGTTCTCCCACTTAAAAAGATGAGAGAGGCCTGTAATTTTCATCATAGGTATACCTCAACTATGAGAGACAAAATGGGGGGGAAAATCCAGAAAATCACATTGTCTGATTTTTAAAGAATTTATTTGCAAATCATGGTGGAAAATAAGTATGGCATTGAAGATGAAACGTGGCTGGGTCTTTCAGCATGACAATGATCCCAAACACACCGCCCAGGGCATTGAAGATGAAACGTGGCTGGGTCTTTCAGCATGACAATGATCCCAAACACACCGCCCAGGGCATTGAAGATGAAACGTGGCTGGGTCTTTCAGCATGACAATGATCCCAAACACACCGCCCAGGGCATTGAAGATGAAACGTGGCTGGGTCTTTCAGCATGACAATGATCCCAAACACACCGCCCAGGGCATTGAAGATGAAACGTGGCTGGGTCTTTCAGCATGACAATGATCCCAAACACACCGCCCAGGGCATTGAAGATGAAACGTGGCTGGGTCTTTCAGCATGACAATGATCCCAAACACACCGCCCAGGGCATTGAAGATGAAACGTGGCTGGGTCTTTCAGCATGACAATGATCCCAAACACACCGCCCAGGGCATTGAAGATGAAACGTGGCTGGGTCTTTCAGCATGACAATGATCCCAAACACACCGCCCAGGGTATACCTATGATGAAAATTACAGGCCTCTCTCATCTTTTTAAGTGGGAGAACTTGCACAATTGGTGGCTGACTAAATACTTTTTTGCCCCACTGTAAGAAAAAAGTCCTATACTTGAGACCCAGGATTTCTAACTAGAGGCAGGGAACTATCACATATATATGGTCTCAGCTAAAATCAATCTAGAGGCTTGAATGCAATAGGCTAAAGGTCTATTATCTGTCAAAAAATTAGTGTTTGACTAAAAGAAACCCCTTTTACTTAACAGTAACTGTATTAGCAGGACTTTTGGAGGGTCATAGAAAGCTCAATAAGCTATAATATTGTGCAAAGTCACAGAGGCATACCAAACTTTTTTAGATCATTTTGTTTTTGAAGTATAGAGGCCTGCTCAAAAAAATTGCAAAGTCAAAGCAAAAATAGAATGGCCAACTAGGAAAAGAACATAATTGATTTAATTTAATTTATTTTAATGTATTTTAATTTTTTAAAAATACAGTTAACAGGATTGCATTTAATAATTTTCCCTTTCTGTGATCCTAAAAATTATAATTCAGGAGCACTTTTGGAGAAGCTCTGGGGACTGCACCAAACCCTTGGAGAAAGGGGGAGCTACATATGGACTTCAAACTACAGGTTATGCATTCCTTCTCTAAGGATCCCTTCCCACAACTTCTGAAATAACCTTTCTTTGTAAGCTTTTGTTCCCACAGTTTATATCATTCCATTAATTTTCCATTCTTCAAAGTTACTCAAAAAGACCTCAGTAGCCTATATCAAGCAATGCATAGGACAGAAGCCTAAGTCACACTTGATGTTTTCTTCAAAACAAAGATTGAAATATTTCCTTTTTTACTTTCAGACATTATCCGGCTTGCCAGATCAAGATTCCTTCTATGATGTTGTTGACTGTCTAGAAGAGCTAGGGATGGAAATTATTTCCCAGAAACATCTGAACAAGAAAGGATCAGATTTGGACTTAGTAGAGCAGTTCAACATTTATGAGGTAACATAATATGCCCTTCTCCTTTACAGCTTGCAAATATTTCATAGTTGAGTTTGCAAGGAAAGTAAATCCATAGTAATATTGGCCTATTTATTTTTATTTGGAAAGCCGAAGATCTGTTTATGTCCTACAGATGCAGGTACACAGTAGTATAGTTTATTATAAAATGCACTTTTTTACTAGACAGGGATAATACTATAAGGTAAAACAAGTATGTTTACTGAACTGTGTAACTACAACTGAATTGTGTTAATATTGATAGCTGTAATACTGATACAGTGCAGCAGTTTTATACTAATAGGGAATAAAAACATCCAATATTAAGAAAAGGCTCTATTTGGAACTGCTCCACATTGCATAATTATTATCCAGAATTATGCATTAATTGTGCAGTAAGTTCTCTTTTACCACTTTATATTAATGCTACTTCCCACCAGACTTCCAGCTTTGTTTCCCCACCTTCCCCACCATACATGACATATTCATAGCACTCTCCAAGATCCCTGCCTCTCTTTCCTTGAACCAGCCATCACTCCTTTGAGCTGACCCATGTGCGGCACACCACCTGCCTTTTCTTCCCTCACCCCAGCACTGGGTGCATCAAGTAGCAGCTAGCAGGGTGGAGGCACCACTGTGGAGCTTAATGTTGCCCCATTATTTAACAGGAGGGGGAAACTATTAGGATCCAGGAAGTGGGATAAAATGGGACTTCCCAAATTCCCCATCCCACAACTCCAGAGGAGACAGCAGAAGTCTTTGCACAGCTTTTCTCTTGGAGTAAGAGCCAAGTCAACATTTTATTGGCTTCATTTCTCAAACTGCACAAAAGCTCCTGCAACATCATGAGGACATAGGGCATGTTTTTTGGTGATTTCCCCACCACCACCCCCATGTATGAAAAAACCTTGATTGTAATGAATCCTTGATAAATAACAGTCATAAAAAGACATTTCCAGATGTCTCTGTGAGGCAAAACAAACATAAATCATGTAGGAATGTATTATATGCATTATCCATCACACTTTCCCTTTCATTCTTTTCAGATGACATTGAGACATGAAGATGGTGATGACAATGGAGAACCTCTTCCTACTGGCTGCAAAGACAGAAGAAGGGCCAGTCTTGGTTCCAGTGAACGAAGAGGACTAGAACGTAGGAGGAGCAGGAGGCATTCCATCCAGAGTGGCAAGAGCGCTTTATCAGCCCCTGCCAGCCCCTGTACTCATTCAAGCCCTAATTTTGTGTGTGGCCGTAGACAGAGCACTGAAGAATATAGTGAAAAGTAAGTATAGGGAATAAGAAATGTTCCTGGTTTCTTTATACCTTCTACACTTTCAGTTTACTGTGGCTCATAATTGGTTGATATAACTCCAACCCCACAGTTCTACTTAATTTTGCTTAAAATGACATAACACATGTAACATTTTTACAACATGCTATTTGCTCAGTTACTGATTTCTGAAAATGAAACAAAACAAGCAATTAATTCCTAGGGAAATAGCCTGCAGGAGTTGATACTTAAATAATTTTCCAAGAAAATGAAAATGGAAAAGAATGAATGTAAACAAGTTCTGTCTCCTTTCTGATAAGGCATGTAGGAGAAATGAAAATATTGTGGTTTGATGTAACCACAATCATACAAGAGCTTAAAAGAGGACAAGAAGTTATTACAAAAGAGAAGTTATTTAATGAATATGTTGACTGAAATATGTCATTTCAGTGCTGGCTTCTTAGCACCTACTTAGCTTTTTAATTAAAGAAATCAGTAACTTCTTTCCATTCATATAACATCCATATTATGGCAATACTGCTTTCATGTTTTCTCATTGATCATTTATGCTTGCAGACATATCAAATAATCCTTATCGTTGCCAATTATTGTGAAGAAGTACACATAGTGTGGTATATCCTTCAACTTACAAGCATACATTTTTAGATCAATAATTTTATTTCACTGATATACATTCATTTTTAATCTAAAAGTTTGGTTTGTGGTATGTGTAGGGGGAAGGTGTTTTGCCAGAAATATCAGTGTTTATGGTACAATAATTTTCAGATTTGAAAATTGAAACAGAATATTTTATAGGACCAGTCTAGACAACTGAGAACTACTATTTAATCTGGAACAGTGAACAGACTGTTCACTGTTAATTCAAATGTGTCTCAGTTTGGTGAAGGTTCCATAGTTATAAATACCAATGCATCTTTTTAGGCTGGGAAGAAGGATATGAAGACTAGGGAAGATGGGGAAATCTGGGGAAAACAGGCAGTACAATTTGAGGTACAAATTACAGGGATTTTTTTTTCAGATGATACATTTTGTTATCCCAAATCAATTTATAGATTGCAGTATTGTGTACTGGACAATCCTGTGACCTGTTGGGTCATCCTTTGAGAGAAAGGTAGTGCAGTCTAATGTGAACAAAATGACCTTTAAATTTTAGGCTGACCATATTTTTTTTTACCCCAGTTCTGGATGGTCCCATTATCGTCTTGAGTATATATCATAAATAGAAAAATAATTGTAATGGCAAATCAGTAATCAACTTTGCGAATAAAACTAGTCTGAACATTATGGAAATTTCATTTCCACAGAAGTAATGAGGTCCAGACTTTTTACACATTAAGTTAGTGGATTTTAGATACCTTGATTCAAAAATTGTTGCAGTATAATGCACCGTTTGGGCTAAATAGAGGGTACAGACAAACAGATAAACACAGTGAGAGTTTTAGTAGTATATAGATTTTAGTTTTGTAGCTATTTTTATTGCCGTATTTATCAGCGTTTAACGCGCACCTTAATTTTAAGAAGGACATTTGAGTAAAAAAAACTTAAATTTAAAATAAATGACTTGGGAGCCAAATAAAGGGAGCTCTGAACTTTTTGTTTATTAATATTTATACCACTTATAAGGTAAATACATAATATGAAAGAAAAAGCACCTCTTTGAACAAAGAGAGCTCAGGCAGTAGCGACATTTGAGTAAAAAAAACTTAAATTTAAAATAAATGACTTGGGAGCCAAATAAAGGGAGCTCTGAACTTTTTATTTATTAATATTTATACCACTTATAAGGTAAATACATAATATGAAAGAAAAAGCACCTCTTTGAACAAAGAGAGCTCAGGCAGTAGCACGAGCGATGGGGAGTGGCAGTTTTCACTCAGTCGCCTGCTGCTCACCTCCTGCTCTGTGGAGCTCAGGCGGCAGTGCGATCGATGGGAAGCAGCGGGTTTCGCTCGCTCGCTCGCTCACCACTCACCTCCTGCTCTGCGGCCTGGTTCCTAACATGCCACGGGCTGGTACCAGTCCGCAGCCCGGGGGCTGGGGACCCCTGTGCCAAACACTTTTGTCTTGATTTGATTAGGGATACCGGTAGTTTTAAGAAACTGAAGCAAGTAGTGTTTCACATCACCCGCATGGTCCGGCACTCGGTGTGTCAGAGCAAAGCGCTGGCGCTTTGCTCTGATTCATTACTACAAGCCGGAATGCTGCAAAGAGAGGAGGGAAGCTCGCGGTACTTTAGTGACATCACCTGCACGGTCTGGCGTGTATTAATGAGTCAGAGCAAAGCGCTTTGCTCTGACACACTGAGTGCCAGACCGCACGGGTGATGTTACTAAAGACTGCAAACAGAGGAGGCATGGTTTAAGTGCCATCAATCATAGGAGGAGGTGGGAAGCGCATGGTTGCAGCCCCGGTTACAGCCCTGACTCAAATGAAGCTCCACTCTCCCAGCCCTGCTGCTTGAGTATCGGCGTATAACACGCAGCTAGGATTTCAGCCCCAAATTTTAGGGGGGGAAGTGCGTGTTATATACCAGTAAATACGGTATGTATGTTGATTCACCTGAAGAGGGGGAAATATCAGCTGCCCTGCCTTCTTTGAGTCAGAAAGTCTGCTTTTTGTAACATTGCTACTCTTTCACTGGGTCTGAACCACTGAACCAGCTTCCTTACAAGTCTTGGACTTTTCCTTAAACATTCTAAAGCTTGTATGTAAAACTGTATGTTAACATCCTTGTTCACTCAGTTTGAATCATGAGTTCTCTGAAAAGGGAAGCTTCTTAGGTGTCTTGGGTGGCTCTACTACCAGTGAGGTCAATAACTCACTCTAAGCAATATCAAACCCATTATCTGAGACCCCTGCACTGTTGTACATGATGACAGTAACCTTCTGCATGCCCATTTCAGAATAGAACCTAGGAGGAAAAGAATCAAAAGCCAAGAAAGAACCACAAATTCACTCCCTTGTATCTTTCTACCATTACATCTCCCCGTCCTTCCCCCCAAAAACTGGCTTGTTGGTCTCATTCTCTCACACTTTACAACTTAAAAAACCATAAAGTATCTGTCAATCACAAAGTTCTGTATTTCATCCTATAGATTGCTTTCTATATATGATATACTCATATTAAACATTCTTCTTAATTCTGATAACTTTTTTTATCATGTGAAATAATCTTTTAAAAGAATTCATACATGTATATAGTAAATACATGTATATAGAATGAAAAATCTTTTTTCCATATTATGGTGATGTGTTAGCACATTGATCATAATCAATACAGTATATTGTTTTCTATCTAGAATTTAATTCATGTACGTATTATGTGGTATAAGCCATTATTGTCAGCTTCTGTGGCATTTGTGCTTGACAGTCTTTCTGTCTTAAAACTTAATTATGGCATTGCTTTGAGGATGAGTATAAAACATTGTGCAGTTGCAATATAATGAAAAGCATATGCCACATATGGCTTGTTGTTATATCTAAGGCAGGAATTTGGCTGGAGTTCATGTAAGTCATGTGATATTGTTACATTGGTTTATATGAAATAGATGGGGGTATACATATTTTGTCCTTTTGAAGAATAATTCAGATAAACCCTTTTAATTAGGTGCAACAAACATAACTAACCAGTAGGTGAGGCTGAGTTGACACTGAAATCTGTCATCCTATACATTTCCCCAACCCAAGGTCTCCATAATCAGTTGTTTCACCTTCTGTTGCTTGAGTACAAGGGGGATGTGTGTCTATGCTGCTAACTTATTCTATCACAGGGGTACACATTTGGGGCAGTACAGCGTGCACTTAATCTCTAAATAGCATGGTAGAGGTCATCCTCCAAAAAGTAAGTGATGTTTGGATGGGAACTAAATTTGATTAATATGATTAGTCCCTGTATATTTAATACATTTCTTCTTTTGCCAGATTAACATTTGGAATTTTGTAGCAACATGTGAAAGGGCTGAGTGTTTTAAAAATATTAGGGATGGCATAAAGAGTATTGCCAGGGTCTCTGAAGAGATGATACAGTATTTTAGACCTATCATTTTGTAAGTCTGTTTCACCAGCCATTGCTTTTTCTGGACCCAGCATTAATATAGCATGAGTTGAGAGACTGCAGTGAGCTAGATCAGAAATTCTTTCATTCCAAGAGGAGGTAATTTTATTTTACGGGATAAGCTGGGCCAGTACTAGCAGCCAAATATCTGTTTCAGCCAATACTTCAAACAGTAGAATCTATTGCAGGCCTGTACAAAGGCTCAGCAAGCTCTAGACAAGGAAATGCATTGGCTAGCGAGTGGGGAACTCCAAGTGAAGTTCTGTATTGCAAAGTCATGGAGACCTAGATATTTGAAAGCCTAAACATGCTCAGTTTGGTTGTTACTGATTTTCTGTCTGATGGAATAATTAGTGTAACATTTGATAAATACAGGTGTCTTCAACTGTGAGTAGTTAAATGTCTAGCTTTTCATATGACACTAGCATTTGTAGGCTTTGCTGAAGCCTGTGAGTTGAGTCATGGATAAAATGACAGTGTCATCAGCATGTAAAAGGATGGAAATTGATTTGTGGGCTTGTTGAAGGTGGAATTTGCATATGGCAAGGGGCTATATAATGTCAATATAAAATTTAAATAATAAAAGGTCCAGATTACATTCCTGTTTAATCCTCTTTTGAGTAATGATGGTTGCCACTATTCTGCATGAAACATCATTATCAGCTAAAGGAGGTGACAATGACTGTGTGTGTGCAGGTGTGCATGCATGTGTGTTTGTGACTGTGTATGTAGACTGTGCTGTCAGCCCCCCTCTTATCTACCACAGAATTGTGGTATTCAGATGATATTCAATGCACAAGATGGATCAGCACATATTCACCAACATCAGAGGGAATAGAATCAGAATCACAGTAAATCACACTGTAAGATTCATTTCTGAATAAACTTATAGAGAACTGAACCTTCTGTAAGAGTGATGATTTACGGACTGCAATTTAGCAAGAGTTCCCCAGATGTTGGAACATTGCTGCAATAATAGTATGGTACACAGAAAAAGGAGAAATGGCTATGTGTCTCTCCACACACAAACACAAAGTATTCCTAAAATATAGAAAAGAACTGAGTATGAAAAAAAGTAAACTTAATAGAGGCAGCATAGAAAGGATGATATTATTCAAATGAAATAAGAAGACGACAAATGTTTTAAAGCATGGACTCTGAAGTATCTTAATAACAAAGTCAACATTGAGTTAGATGACACTACCTATAGATGTAATAAGAGGACACCAAACTACACATAGTTTATAAACAAAATAGAAAATTACAAGAAAACAAAATGAACCAAGTATCTGGATGAAGTATAGGGCCAATATAATGGGAAAGGTGATTTAAAAAAAAATAATAACGCTGTCTTTGGAAAAAAGGATTGGAGAAGAGAATCCATAGGAGGAAAGAGGAAGAACAAAACAGAAGGGTAGAGTGACTAATGAACAAATGAAAGAAAGCTAGCTAATAACAACTAAAAAGGGAGCCAGTTTGGTCTAGTGGTTAAGGCACCAGGCTAGAAACCAGGAGACTGTGAGTTCTAG